AAGAAATGACCATCCGACGGCCCAATAGTGAAGAGGCTGCGGCTGACTAACGGCCGACGCTACCATGTGTCACCCATTGTTTGGAGTATGCTGGGTGACCGCCTTATGCTGCTACCATGTGGCGCCCGCCGAGTGGATGAGAATTTTAGGGCATCTGACCGTAAGCTGTGGGCGGCGCAGGTCCGGCGATGGGCGAAGAGTTGGTCGGAGGGAGAAAGTGGGGAGTGTGGGATATTAGTGTTCACTCGAGCGGAGCTGCTGCAAGGTGCTAGGGTGGGCTGTGCTGCTTTTGGTGCGGCTGAGGACGAGGATGCGAGTTGGAGCTGATGAGGTTCAAGGGAGAAACAAGAGAGTGATTCTTGCAAATGTGAGGGGAGAAAGTTTTTGCATGAAGAGAAAGTAGGAAATTCCAGATAGGCGAGAAAGAATTCACGTAGAGAGAGATTTTGCAACGAGAGAGGCGATGAGATCCCAAATGGAGAGCAAAGATTTTTTATGTGACATAAAGAAGATTATGTAGTGTATAAAAAAATTTGGCAAGGGTAAAGGGAGAAAGATTTTTGTGGAACAAAGAATGAGATGTTGCAGAGTATGAGAAAGATTTTTATAGAAGAATTTTTGCACAAAGGAGTGAGAGAGATTGGAAAAGAGATTTCAGTACAAATTGATAGAGCATTTCGAGAAGAATTGAGTTTTAATTACAAAAGTAAAGTAGATAGTGTATTGGGTCATAAATGTCAGTGCCAAGCTACCCCTCAGATTACAACGCCTACGGGGGAAGTTTTAAGTTGACACAACTATAAATACTAATGATCTTGTTTATTCATAAAATAAATTAAGATTATCAATGTTGTTAAAATTCAAACATAATTGTGTTTAATATTAACAATGATTTGTATGCAACTTTGTGATTGTATGTATATTCTCAAATATCTATAATGTAACTTAAAACTATACGTTTAATATCATAATAATGTGTAGCAAAAGATACATTTTGCAAACATGTGTTAATCAATAATTAATGGAAACGTATTCCATGTTCTGATTAATTATTTAATAGTTCAAATTTTAAATGGTATTGATTTTAATAGACATTTTATATGTGTGGATATTTATGATAGTTTCATGATAGATTTTAAAGTAATAATTTCATGATAAGATATATATATATGGTTTTGAATTCAATTTGCATAAAATTTAATAATTGAGCAAAAATTGTTTTAATGTGTTTTAATTGATACATCAATTTTTTCTTCTTATTTTTCTGTATAATGATTTTTGAGATATTAAAATATAATTATTTGAAGGTAATATGAATATAATTTATAATTTATAATTATCCTACTATGATAAAAAAATGAAAAATCAACTTCGATAATCGATTTAAATTTGTGCAGTGATCTTTTGAGGAAAAGAAAGTTGTGTCATCAATAAATAAAACATCTAATAATTTTAATTTTATTAAAGTTTTTAAATCATCATGAATAAAGCTAATTATTTCTCATCATATACAAACAATAAGAAATGATCTTCATAATCATTGATTTTTTTAATTTAAAAAAGATAAGCTATATAACTTTAATTTATGTTTGTTGATTTTTTCATCTAAGCTTTTCATATATAAGATTCAAAAATTTATGTGTATTTCTTATATATGATATATATAAATTTATGTAGTTGCAGTAAATAATGTAATGTGTGCAATCTTCAATTTTTAATTCATGTAATAAATTTTCATTTTTAATAAATGTATTAAAGGAACAATCTGTATATATTATATTTAAGGTTCTATTTTCAAGAGAAAATCTATAAACTGCAAATGGAATAATTTGATCTTATGTATATATATATACGTATATATAAAGATACTTAAATTGGTATCAAATACAATAATTTTATGTAAACATATTTTGATATGAATAATTATAAAAGGTAGCAGTCTAAATAATATAAAATCACATACAAAATGAAAATTTTGGATAAATTATAATTATTATTGAATAATTTTATTTCTTCATGAATTAAGCATCAATTTTGTTATAATTTGTGAAATTTTATTATAAAATATTTATTCAAATGTAAAGAATACATCTTTTTTTAATCTATAGCTAATTAACATTGAACACTTGACGTTTTATGAAAAGTTGTAATTGAATTTACATAATGCTTTATAAGTTGTAATTTTACAAATTATGCAAACAAATTATATGAATATGCTTTGATGCTTGTGTTCATACAAACATTAGAAATAAAGATGAAAGTTCAATAAAAAATGATTTAGAAAAATGTTAAAAAGCATAGCAAAGGATAAAGTATCAATATGTTCAAACATGAATGCAATATCATTTATTTGTATATTTATGATATGAATATTCATCCAATTTTAATAAATTTTGAAGCCATTTTGTATAACATTTGGGAAAATAGTATTAAGTGTTGATATCATATAGCATCATATCACACTAATTTTTAGTACAAATGTGATACTCCATCACATATCTTTATAATACACATTAAATAAACCATATTAAAATTTTAAAATAATTTAACACACACATTTTATTAGTAAAATATTGTATAATACTTGGAAAAGTTATCGATAGAATTCGAGAGTTCACCGTTACAATTAATCTCCAAACAAGCACATTTTTTGGAGATTCCGCAGGATCGTACTCACATCAACTCACTTTGTGCTATAGGTATTTATCCTTGTACACTTGGAAACAGATGTACATACGCTAGGAATTCCCAACAAGAGAATCGATTGCAAGATACTTGTCCACTTTGATACAGGTGGAGATCTTGAGTTGGAGTATTTGACAATGTAAAAGAGTGCTAGATACTCAGTAGTGATTGAATACAACGTGAACAACATTGTACGTCTGCGCTTGTGGAAGAACGTGGCTAACTATCTCTACTGTAGTAGCCGGCCAGCCAAATTGGACAATATATACAAAGTATTTTACAATACTTCTTAATCTATCATATTGATATTTAGATTACAAATTGTAATGAAATTGTGATTATATGTCGTCATGTGATAATTGAAGAGTGTATAATTATTTTAAGATGTGAACAAATGCAACACATGAGTTCTTCCCTTTCTTCTTATTCAAAAAATAATTTTGGTACAATTTAGTATATTTAAATGAAGCATTCAATCACAATGAAAAATTATATTCTTGGTTAACTTCATATATGAGGTTTTCTTTGGCCATCCTTTGAATCGATTAACAGTGTCTGATTATGATGATAGATAGGAAATCTGATCAATTACTCACATGTATTTATCTGATATGTGTGAAATTTGATCATACATATGAAAAGTTGTGTTCATACAAAATGATGCAAGTAATTATTCGTCTAGAAACATGCCATACTTAAATAACTCCTGAAGAGATTATAGTCACTTCTGACTATTTTAGATATATGTCAATGACAAGATTTGATGCTTTTGCAAACGCGATACTAAAATAACGATGATGTGTGACCTTCATTATATGCAATGAGAACTTTACTTTTATATCATTCAAGACATCATATTAAGGATACGTGAATTGTGTATATGGATGAAATTACTGGAATAATTGGGCTACAAGACATGAGAAACAAAGGAATCAAATCTCTGGATGGTGTAAAAAATCTCGGATGCCATGTGATCAAACGTTAGGAAATAGGTATTATCACGCTCATGAGTTGTTCAAATGTCACACGAGCATTGTCTATGGGCAAAAGTAGTCGAACATGTTGCGGTGTCGGTCGAAGGTTACAGTGAATAGAGGTATTGCACATCAACTCATGTACAAGACCATATCATGGTGTATCCAAAGTACATCTGTGGAAAACCAGAAAAAAGTCAGAATAATGGGAACAAATCCCAGGGCACCGGAGAAGTCCGAATTGTACACTGGAGTGACATAATGAGAACCAGTGATCGGAAATTGCTGTCGCACATTTGCCAGTGGATAGAGAAATTTGGCAGAAGGGATCATCAATCCGGACATGGACACGAACTTTCTCTCTGGCGCGAACATCAATCCGCGCTAAGAGAGGAAAAGCCTCTTTGACAGGCAAAAGGCGAATGCCGGAGCAGAAGAGAAGAGAAAAGGGGAAGTCAAATTTGGAAAAGAAGAAGTTATGAATATCGTGTCGATCACTGAAGCGGACGACGACCGGAAAGCCCACCGTTTATGACGACATGGTTCGGATGTGAGGGAGTGTGCGGTCGCATCATGCAGAGAAAGGCACAGCGAGCGAAGTGCACTGCAGTCAGCCCCCGTCCTCGCAAAGGACACGATTCCGCTGGTGTGCGTTCAGATGCTGCGGAAAAGGTCGGAATCGCTCGGCTACAGGACTGCCCATCATTGGCCGCCTGTTCATGCCATCTGGAAATTACGCCGTCGGCAGTCGACTACAGTTGCGGCCCCTGCGGGGCGGCCACAGCAAATTCTCACCACATCCACCCTCGGAACCTACCCACGGTGAGCCAGAGGGTCGCCCGCAGGCCGCAAGCCGCAGGCCCCAGCAGCGGGAGGAATATTGGGGCTCGAGGACGGCCCCCCGCCCTCGCCATGCCTCGGTCGGTCTGTCCGCAGGCCATGCAGACAAGGCGCTGGACATAAAGCAGTGCAGTGCGTACGTACATATGAGCAGATGAGGTAGGGCCGCCGCGCGGGGGATGGGGACGGGGTCGGGGTCCGGGACGGGAGGGACGAGAGGGACGGGAGGCAGCCCCTAAGTTTAGAACTGACGTGGCCGAGGTAGGATAGGGATGAGGGAGGGAACCTGGTAGCCTCGCGCGGTAGCGAACGTGGTAGGCGGAACGTTACCGCGAATGCTAACGAGGGCGAGGCGGCCCTGGGGTCTCTCTTTCTCGGGCCCCGTCGTCCGAACACGAACCCGCCCGCCCGCCCGTCCGCCCGCCCAGCCCGCGGCAAGCTCATCTGGAATTGGGGGGATGGGGGATTATAAATAGGGAGGAGAAAGTCGGCCCTCGTACACGAGAGCGAGACGGAAGTGCGTGGAGAGAGGAGAGAGTGGGATCGGGTACCGAACATGTCCACACCTGTCAGTGGGCGTCAGTGAGGCGGCATAGTTCACACGAACTCGAGAGTCCGAGGAGTGCGGACCCGGGCGTGGAAATAAGGAATTGTGAAAATCGGAGCAGCGAATTGCCGAGGAAAAGGAATTGCATAAAAGGCGCTGGCTGGATCTCCAGGCCGCTTGTCTGTTTGTATGCTGCTGCAGAAGAAGGAGGAGGAGCAGGAGAAGGAGGAGGAGGAGGAGGAGCAGCGAGGGCGAACCATCACGGCGATGGTTCAGAGTTGCTCCTCGCACTGTTGTCACCTTTCGCCCATTCTTTGTCCGTGAGGCATTTCCAGGCGCGTCCGCAGGCAGGATACGCGAGCGAAAGCGCCCAATTTCGGTGCGCGCTCGCCAGGCCCCTCATCATTTGCCACTTCTTGGCAGCAATCTGAGGATTGTTATCCTATCGCGCGCAGATCAGTATCCTTGGCGCAGCGCTAGGCAGGGCAGCAGGCTGGGCAGCGGAATGAGGACGCCGGATGGGCGCCCGCGCCTCCTCCTAGGATTATTTTTATGAGCTGGTTCGACTATACAATTGCCCGCGGATCGACGGAGGGGATAATGTATTTTGCTGTTCGACCATTGTCGCCCACACCTGGCGAGATGCAGTCGCCCTGCGCGCAGGTGGCCTGTTTTGGAGCCTCCCTTTCTCGCCTTTGATGCCCGCCGAGTGCTCCGTCCCGTGCATCGAGCTGGTGTGTGCGCCGGTAGACAGCGTGATGGACTTGCAGACTCAAGTGGCGCAGGCAGTGCAGGTGCTGAATCATGACCTGCAGTCATGCAATCGAGTTGCCGCCAATCAATGGCTGGTGCACTTCCAGCACACGGATGCCGCGTGGGAAGTTGCCACCAAAATTTTGGCCTTAGATTCGATCCACACACATGATTACGAGGTCGAACTCTTCGCATCACAGGTTCTGAAGCGCAAGGTATGCTACTCCAGATTTCTGCGACGAAGTTGTCGTGCTTTCGGGAAGCGTCAAGGCATGCGAATCCTTTGACGGTGTTTAAACCTCTGTTTTTCAAACATATGTGTATAGATGATGTTCTTCGAGGGGATTGGAAATTTTATATTTCAAATGTATTAATCTTATTAAATGAATGAAATCTGCAGTAATTTCATTACTTACTGCAGCTTTTAAAGTTGCAATACAGTATCAGTGCCCAGGAAGAGCTTACAAATTGTGTTGAAAGTGGCAAGGTCTCCGTCTTTGACTTTTTTTCGGAGTATTACACATAACATAACGTTCTTGATCCAGATCCAAAGCGATGCGGGGAGTTTGAAGCCAGAAGACAGAAGTGCCCTTCAAAATGCACTACTCATGTCAGCCAAGAAGTTTAGCACAGGTCCATCACAGGTGTGTACATAAATCATCAATTACTCATTAATCACGCAAATGACACTTGTCTCTACTTTCAGAAATTGGTTACAGTGGAAAGGTTTTTTTTGGCAGTTTGAGTCTCTGTTGTTGACCAAGGGAATCCGAGCGGACCTCATTGTTTCTGCCTCGTCGGTGTGAGTGCGCAGTCTTTACTGTGTATGCAGGCATTGATCGCCAAAAAGTTGTTGTCCAGGTGAATGCTTCAGTAACTAAGCAATATTACTCTCGTGTTGGCAGTTGTTGAGGCAGATATGCTTGGCATTGTCTGCCCTAGTTTTGCGAGCTGTTGAGTGGCGCAAGCCAGTAGAACAACTTTTTGCCAGTCTATCAGAGCTACAAGGTCAAGGGACTGGAAGCAATGCCATCTTGGAATTGTTGACGGTTTTACCTGAAGAGGTGATGGAAGATCAGCTCGTGAATTGCAGTGTCGATCCCAATAGGAGGTGGCAGTTTACCAGAGAAGTATGTCTCTCAACCTCAAGACGTGGTTCCCCATTGCTCTTTGCTTGAGGGGAGTGAAGCCTATAATACTGCATTCTTTGTACTTTTTTTGTTTTGGGATGATATTTTCCGTGTCAACGAGGTGTAAACGCCGAAATGTGCAGAAGGCTTTGTTCCTCTATGTGCATTTTTTTGGCACTTTCTTGAGTAGACTTATATCTCTGCATTGGCTCATTAATTTGATGTCTTTTAACGCAAGACCCGGACGCCTTCGAAAGTATAATATTGGCAAACTCTTGTCTTGGCCAACATGTTGGACGGCGTAAGGCTGGTGGCTCCTGTGAAATAAGGCTTGTAAAGTCTTTCGATTTTGCAGTAATTTATGTCGTTTATGACATACGTGCAGCTTTTGTCACACACCGGCGCAGTTTTGGAATTTCTTCTGCAGCACACCAAAAATGATTCCATGGAGAATTCACAGCTGCATGACAAGCAAAGAAAAGTATTGCGGTGCTTGCTGAGTTGGGTACGTTGGTCATAACCCGAATTAATTCATTTTGTTCATTCCAGGTGTAAATGAAGTAGTAATTTGAAAGACTACTTTTGCATGACAAGGAGGCGAGATATGACTGCTTATTATCATTATCATTGCTTATTACGTCTATTATTTTATCCCGCTGATCTTAAAGTCTGATGTTTTCATGATCATCATTTGTATCTATTTAACAAGTACGTGTTGAGCTGTTTTATTCTCATATGCACTTATCTCACCTCAGCTCAGAATTTTTGGCACATGTTTACACTGGAGAATTGTTATCTCTTCTTCTTGTTTCTTGCATCCAGTTTTATGTTTTGGCTTTGCAGTCCAGAGACTGCGTTAGCAGAGGTTTTAACCTGCCCTCTTGTGCAGGTGAGCGTGGGCTGTTTCTTAGAAGTTCCACAAAGTAGTATACCTACACATCCTCTTCTAAATTTCGTCTACAACTCACTTCAGGTTCGTGCATCTCCGTTCAGGTTTTATCGCAGTCTGGAGAAATTCTGCATGAAAGACATGCAGATGGTCACCTCAAAAGTTTATGTTGGTTTTGTAAACTATCGCACCGGAACAAATAGGGACTGTTTGTGTCAAGCTAATGTTTCTTGGATGTCAATTATAAGTAGACCCTCGCATCTGGTCAGTATTGAAAGCAGTAAAGGGGAAAGTGTGCTATTTGTTGACACTGGCTGTGATTTCTCGCATGTTGATATTTGTTTGGAGATATCGCTATAAGATTCAGTACGTGATAATATTGTGAGGGACGGTACATGTCTGGAAAGTTGTTCTTCGTCTCTTATGTGACGTGTTACGTTTTGCAGGATGCAAGCACTTTCGATCTAGCCGTGGAGGTTCTGACAGAACTTGTTAGTCGACATGAGGTGTGGAAGTTTGCCTTGGTTCCGATGCATTTAATCATTCTTAATCTAAAATACGATATTGTGGAGAGTACAAGATGTGCTGTGAAATCCTTCTAGGCAGCCTTCAATAGACCGTTCTAGATAGTGAAATTTATTTTAGAACTGCAAAGTTTGTCCTGACTCCTGAGATGGATGCATAAGCTGTTCTTTAATTAAATGGTATAATTCTTGGTGATTTCAAATCCACACACAACAATGTATATAAGTACCTACCCCGATTTCTTTTCCACAGACCTTACCACAAGTCTTGCTACCCCGAATGCTTTCAGTCAAAGAAGCTCTTCTGATGCCAGCGTTAGCCACGGGTAACGAGAACATTGTGAATGGTCTTGTAAGCTTGATGGCAGAGCTGGGGCAGGCGGTGAGTTTTTACATAACGCCTTGGTCTCCTAGTTCTTTCCTCCACTTCTCATCTCCGTGGTCATCTTTACTTCTTCCATGTGCTGTTGTTTCTATATGTGGATGAACGTGGAACCAGAAATGAATTGGTTTTATCGGATACAAATGAGATGGAAAGAGAGTCAAAAGATATATTTATTTTCTAAGTAGTAAAATTTGTTCTGAGCCCGATGCATGGATGTTTTTTTTGTTTTTTTGTCGGCAGGAAAGGACTGTAATCGTCTGTTATCTTTTAAGTGTGTGATTGTCTAATCAAGACGTGTCTTTCTCCAGGCACCTGCTTTGATTGCCCAGGCCAGCACGGATGCACTGGCCTTGGCAGATGCACTCCTGAGGTAAACAAACCATTTCTTTTTAGCTATCAATCGGACGCTGTCTCTGGATGTCTCCTGAGCAGAGAGTAGTACAACTGTTTTTCTTTTCTGGTTTTTGGTTTTGTTTGAACGACGGTAGGAGCTGAGTGTACCAACTCCCGAGTAAAGAGTATTGTACTTGGCACACGCCTCTTGGGATCAACCTGTGTAAAATCAAGTTTGGTTTAGGAAGTTTGAAGACCAGTGAGATTCTTCTTTACTTACTATGTCCTTGTTCTCTTATCTGGGAACCAGATGTGTCGCTTTTCCGTGTCCAGATTGGGAGATAGCTGAGTCTACACTTCAATTTTGGTGAGTTTTTGTTTTTTTGAGTATGTACAATTCTTGTGATGCTTCTGTTGACAGACACTGAACGGGTACTCAGCTACAGTCCAGCCAAGAGCTTATGATTAAAGTGGATGAATTTAAGATGAGGCATCTTCCTTAAGCATTCTCAGCCCTTGCGCAGGACATGAATGAGGTTGTAGTGGGGAAACCTCGCGTTGCGAATGGTGGACACCATGCTATGTCTTTTAAATCTCGCATTCCTGGATAGAAAGTCAAACCTACTTTCAGTCTCTTGACTACCCTAGCGGTTCACTAATCGAAAACTTGATGCTTGCAGTATGTTTTTTCTCTTTTACTACTCATCAGCTTTTAGCAGCTAGATTGTTCTTCTCCAATTTATTTGAATCTATTATTTGTGTGAATCTATTCATGTCAGTTTTTAAACTTTAACTGCTTGTTCGATAATGTAGTATGCTCTAGATTTGCTGATTAGTTTGTCCTGATTTAACCAAGGCCTTAGTCTTACTTCCAAACTTTTTTTAACACTTAAGGTTGGTCTTGTACCAAGAAGTACATGCAGTTTTCAAATTGCAAGAGGCATGTGTTTGTAGTTTATATGCGCTGCTCAGTCTTTGATCCCGATAGATCTTCTGCTAAGATTGTCGAGTAAATCTGAGAAACAACTTGAAGATTGTTTCAGAGGTCCAGTCACGAGAATCGACCATATTCTAGATCTTTACTTCACTTCTTACTTTACATGTTCTCTCGTATAGACCTCTTCAGTCCAGATCACATAATATTGAATGATGTCGTAAGCTGATTGTTGCTAACTATCTACGTGAAAAATCTGTTGTGGTGAACAGGTGTACCCTTGCAGAATATTTGCTTGCAATGGGTGAAACTCATGGGGAGCTCCAGAAACAAAGAGCGCTCGCAACTTTCATTCCTGTCTATTCAGCCTTGCTAGATGCCTTGGTAATGCGTTCTCAGGTACGAATATGTGAAATATAATCTGTTCCAATGTAATTGGTTTCTAGAGTTGAGTTTGGAGCAAAGTCACCAATCAGTTGTGAAGCATACCGGAGTCATAATTGGTCGATTAGTCCCTTGATTTAGTGTAGCAATCAATTTCCAGTGAACATGATGACTTTTGTGTTAACACGCTTGAACCAGTCTGACAATAGTTATTCTTCTTTGCAGCTGACGTTTGTGGTCATATTGATACTCTGAAATACTCGTTTATACTCATTGGAGGATCTGATTGAGTTGAGGAATGCTTCCTGTCGTTCATGAAGGTTGGAAGTGGGGAGTATGTGGAGGATGATTTGGATGGTAACACGGGTCTTCCAGATGGTCTAGCCCATTTCCGAGTGAGCCTTGATGAACCTCTTGCCGATATTTGTCGCTTGCTGGGACCTTCTCAGTATTTCGCAAAGGTAAATAGCATCTTAGCCTCCAGCTTATTTTATGCAGAACATTGTACCGATTGTAATTCCGAATTAAGTTGAAGGCCTTTTCTCCACTTCTTCTTCTTTTTCGGAAGAACTTTTTTGGAGATCTTCTATCCTTTTTGCCCAAGGAGGTCTTACAAGACCGAATGTCCCTAACAGTTACTTCATGGGGCCGATACATGGTGTTCGTTCGATTCCATCGTTCCTTGGCAAGTGGTAGAAGCTCGACTTTTTGCGCTCAACATGGTAAGTTTGAATATTCATGCGTTTTGTATCTCTTAAGACGTTCTCATTGATTACCGCTTCAGATGTTGAGAAGTGTCATCCACTGCATCTTGTGAGACCTGTCATAACTAAATATCTCGTATGGACAGGTGTCAGATGTTGTTCTGCAAGGGGGCCAATTATTAGATCTTACTCCTGTCATGCATCTGCTAGTGTACATGCAGTCTGGTAATTGTGCTATCGATCCAATTTTGATGAATCTGGTAAGTGATGATTTTTTCTAAATATGCTTTACAGAGAGCCTATCGCAACAACTCTTAGATGTGATGAGAAATAGTCTCATAGCTTCACTTTAAAAGTGTACCTATGGATGTCTTGGCTCGGTTCTAAATTGTCTATTTGACCCGTCTAGAATGTATTCTTGCTTCTGCAGTCTCCCTCTCTCCATTTCAATTCTGCTTCCTCTCCAGTTCCTCGGCACTGAATCTTACAAGTCGGGTTGACTGTGTTTTGTTAGATACATAAGTCGGGGGCGCAAGTTGTCGGTTCTTACTCCGGGTGGATATGCAGCTACCCGAACGCAATATTACCATTACTGTACGTTGCAAGCTACCTTTATTGATGGGGTTCTTTTTACTAAGAATAGATGAACGAGAAAAAAACTCTAGAGGGTGATAGGCTATCACCCTCTGGGTCAGCTATCACTGATAGCTGACCTCTGTGATGTACGATCATCTCTTTTTTGGTGGAACAGTGAGTGGATGTTTCTATTGAGAAAGCCCATAAGTGTTGAGGATACATAGTATTTTCAGAAAGCCCGTCAGGTTCCTTCTGACTAGAGATGCTACGAGTAGTTCTGTTTTGCACAGTTGGAATATTGTTGTGTTTTGCCCTTTTGATAGTTTTTGTATTCTTTCTTCTTAAACCGCGTCATAATATACTTCTGAGTTTTTTTAAATCGTTTTGAAATTTCAAAATATGTATGCTAACCAAATTCACCGAGGATTAGGGTCCAATAATTTATCTTTCTCACATGACATGCTCCTCGTCGTCCTCCTAATCTTATTTTACTTGAAGAGCACATATCAAATTGTTATGTATATGTAGCAGGAGGTTTAGCCGTAACTTGGAAGCAGATTGTTTAGTGATCATTGCCGATCGAGTTTTCCTCATTTAACTTGCTGTTGTAACGATTAAGACCGAATGCATGAAAGGACAGTCCGACATGTTTTATATGTCAAAGTTTTCCGGTATTTTCACTAACATTAGCTTATCTACAGTCAAAGTAATGATTAGTATAAAGGGTTGGGACTTTAGACGTGTCTCACCTGATGTATGGCTTGCAGGTCATTTTTGGCAGCTGGACTTCCGATACCGGTAGCTGCTAGCGCCTGTGCCACAGCTCTGAGAAAAATGTGTGAGGACGTGTCAAGTATCGCAACTGAACCAACAACTTTTGAAGGTCTTATTCGAGTCGGAGAGGTAAGTACTTTGAACTTTTGGCTCTACTTTCTTATTACATGACATGCGTGTTATGTAGTTGTTTTCAGGTTGTAATGCAGAATGTTATGATATACAGAAAGAACTTAGAAGGTCTTGTTTCCGATCAGGCAAGTTTTCTGGCCGAAATTTTTTCTCTGCCAGAAGAGATCCGGTTTAGGCTGCTTTCCTGGCAAATGTGCATGGTACTAAATGACAGGGTTTTCTTTCTTGGCTGCAGGAATTGTACAACGTTCATCTGTCACTCCAAGAGGAAGAGGATGTCGTTTGCGCGATTGGTTGCGTTTTATCCACATTAACGAGCAGTGCTGAGCTGAACAAGGCACTCGAAAGGCTATTGAAGCCCAGTCACGAAGCAATAACTGCTCTCGTATGTAATTTTTATCCCTCTTCATCCGCACATACTACGGCTTCTGAGGTCATATCCTGTTTGACGTCGTAGTTTCATTTTTTTGTGGTTGAAATATGAAGGTTGGGATGTCACCTATAATTCTGGTGTAGGAAGTTCACAGAGCAGAAACTTACGTCCTGTTTGCTGTCACAGCTGAAGACGGATAGTGAAGGGTCTTTGAAGCTTCATTCAGCAAGCTATGCAGCTGCTTTAGAAGCTGGTATTAGAGCTTTACATAGGTATGCAATTTATTGCACCAAACTATCATTCGCACAGTTTCGAAGCAATGAAGCTCATATTTATTTCTGATACTGAATAATACTAGAGTAGAGTACAGTCCAATTATGTAACGTAGGCTGACATTGAATATATGTTAGAAAAATGGTTTTTTACATCAATAATAGTCGCAGGAAACAAGAGTCGTTAACTGGGACTCATCTGAAATCTGACTTCCGTTATCTTCGTCACAGGTTGGGTATATACTTTAGTCAATTATCGTCATCAAGTGTCGACAATTTCAATGGAGAGGAGCCCATGCTTAGAATTTTGGCTCATTTTTGGCCTTTGTTAGAGCGGCTCTTGTTATCCCGACATACCGAAGATGGTGGTTTGGCATTGGCAGCTTGCAAAACACTGTCACACGCAATACAAGCTTCAGGTTTAATAATTTTTCACCTAAAGTTCAACTCAGATGTTGCGCTTTTCACGCACAGTTGTTGCTTTGTACTAGCGTCTAATAGCCAGCTTTGATCATCACAGTTCGCTTTACTTCGTTCGGTTCAAGATTGGCTCGATAGTGATACTGTTGCTACCTCTTTAGGATCAGGTTAGACGTCTTGGGGTTTTGTTGGAATCTAAGGTCTCCTGGGCATTCGAACTATTAGATAGCCCCGCAGGTCGATTTGTAAATGATTCTACTTAGAGTGTTGATGCCGCATTCAAGTTGGTGGAGTACGCACTTGCAAATCTTGCTCGCTGGTTTGCATGCTTTCATGTTGTACTGGATTCCATATTCACCTATCGCGTAAGAGTAAAGTTTACCCCGTCAGTCACCACACGTATACCAATAGTCTGTCACCTGTAATCTATTAGTTGGAATGCTAATGCATATTAGGTGGGAGACGTCAACGTCTTTTGGCAAATGCGTAGTAAATATTCACCAATGAACGAAACATAGGAGGTTGCTCTTAGGTTTACAAGTGGGTTTCTTGTCAAGAAATCCAGTTAGTGAATGGTGGAATGGGCTAAGGGACTTTTGATAATGGTTTCTTGGTTGCTTCAGTTGCCGTTAAGTCCACCACGCCTTATGCTTTGTGTACTTTTCTTCCTTCTTTGGCGGTTTTCTTGTGCTGGCGTCAGCAAATTTGTGGATAAGTGGAAGCACTTGAGTCACAAATTTCAGGCTAGGTCTGAAATTTGTGACTGAAGTGCGTCCACTTACCCCCAAATTTGCCAGATATCTTTCTAGAAAATAAACTGCATTGTTGATCCCTAAAGGCTTGGGAATTACGTATCTAGCCCTGACAACCATGATCTAACATAATTATGCCTTTGTTTGTAATTTATAGAGTCAGTTTTTGTATCTCGTCAATCTGCTCAAAAGGCTGTCTACTTAAAGCATATCGTTAAGTCTAGGTTTTGTCTAGACGCCTGTTAAAGAGGAACTGCTAGGTAAGAAGTAATCAAGAGTTGCAATCAAGAGTTGTAAGGCACTGGTGGATTCGTTACGAATCCAAATTTCTTCTTGCTTTTGTAAAACGCCTCCTCACTTTCAGGCTTGGCATATGCTAAAGTAAGTTCCTATCTGGTTTGCAGGGCGGAAGTTTTCGACCTTATTGCCGAACATTATGACTGCATTGTCTTCAAACTTCATAGCCTACCAGTCGCATGTTTGTTTCATAAGAACAGGTATGACTTCGATTTCTGATACCGTTTGGTTGGTCTTCAAAGCAGAAGATATATTTTTTGTAACTTATAATCCATATTGTTTTGACTCACTGTTGCTAGTCGAAGCCAGCTTCTCTCCTCCAATTTCTTGTTATTTTATCTAGCTAGTGCTTACTGTAGCCTTGTATCAACACTAACTATCCTAGTTCAATCTAATTGGTGAGAACTAGCCAAACATGTTCATGTCATCAGCCTCTTTATTTCCAGAGATCTATCCATTAAATTACACAGATGCCATCTTGTGCAGTATATACTCTACCCTGCCACTGCCACAGGTATCTATGTCGAGATTTAGTTTATAGTTGATTGTTGATGGTTGGTATGTATGTGGCAAGCCATCAGCTGCTGTCGCAGTGGAAGAGTTCGGACATGAAAGCGATCATGGCTCCCTGTTCATCGAAACATTGAGGGTTTTCACAGCCTCGGACGCTATGTCACAAATGAACAGTTCTTACGCATGTGACCAAGAGCCTGAACTTGCTGAGGCTTATATGAATTTTACATCTTCATTTGTTCGATGTTGCCCTCGAGTAAGTATTCTACTAGTGAATGACAGCGTTGTTTTGTGTACTGTACTAAACTTTCGAGCTTTTCCTTCTGGTATAATCCGATTGAAATTGTAAGTTGAGGAATTAATAGCAGCAAATTGTTGTGTATCTGGCTAAGAAACGTAGTGTCGATGATGCACCACACCACTCGAATCTAAAATGTCATCGACCTGTGAATGTCAACGCGCAGGAGGTTGTGGCGGCTTCAGATGAGCTTTTAGAGGCATCATTTGATAAGGCCGCTATTTGCTGTACGGCTATGCATCGGGGAGCAGCAATAGCTGCAATGTCCTACATGTCTTGTAAGTTTTTGTTTAGAATCATGTCTTGCTTTCTGACACCTCTTTCATCTCACAAACTTGCTCCTTATGTTCGAATTTTTTTCTTACATCATGTTTGCCTCTGGTATTCCGCTCACTGAAGTTGATGAAGTAGTATGCTATGTTATGTAAATGTAGAACAATCTGTCGGGGGTTTCGCTTGTTACTATACTTGAAGGACATAACGTTGGTACTCGTGTTTGCATACTCATGTAAATGTTAGTTATGTTGCACGGGAAGAAGGGACATCGAATGAAGATCTTTCTCTTCCACTAATTTCTTACTGTTTGATGATGTCTTGACTGATACATGGCAGGCTTCCTAGGGGCTGGTTTATCATCCTTAATGGATCCAGGGTCGGACAAATCTAAGCTTTCTTTGGCTACAGTGACTGCGAAGATTTGCTATCAGAGCGGGGAGAATGTTATCTCTGGCATCTTGTATGCTTTACTAGGTGTTTCAGCCATGGCGCGGGTATGGCTGGTGATGTTCAATGAACTGTTTTCTCGAACTTGTTCAATCGAAACTTTTGCCTAGATGAGAGATCAAAGTCAAGCGTAGTTAAGTAGTTTCGCAAACACGTGGTCGAACTAAGGAGAGCACTTTTCCAAGATTTTCACATTGATGGTAGAGACGAATGCCTTTGCAGGTACACAAGGCAACTACAATTCTTCAGCAGCTTGCAGCGTTTTGTTACATTGGCGGAGGGGATGAGAAGCTGGCTTTGAATTGGAGCTCTCTGCAAAGCTGGCTGGTGGCTGCGGTAAATGACAATCTCTGAAGTTTAAATTTACATTTTGATTCATAAGGTTTTTACAAATGCAGCACATAGAGAACAGCTAGAAGAACTTTGTCGTTTTGGAAAAGATGTATCAGGACTTGACTCACATCAAGATTCTGGTGGGAATATTGATTTCCAATACAGCATCAGGTGTTTTGTATGGGCAACATTGGTGGAGCTTTGGATGCGCATGTATTTCATATCTGATAATTCTCACCTGAATCTCGTGTTTGGTTGCAGGTCCAAGCGTTGCCTCCTGAATATTTGAAGCAAGGAGAGATTGAAACTTTGATCGCTACATGGTTGAGTGCTTTAGAGGCCGCTGCATCAGATTATTACAAAAGTCGAGGAGCTTGTAATGGAGGAAGAACGGGAGCAGCTGGTTACATGCAAGGTGATGGCGGAAGAACATTAAAGCGAGTACTACGTGAATTTGCCGATGCTCACCGTTATACTACGCCCGGTTTTGGAACGACATAAGTTGGAGACATTGCATAATGTATTATTTTTCGTCTCTGAGGCTGAAAGTCATCGGACTGGAAAGAAGGTAGTGAGTCAGCCAGCCAAAGAGTGTACTGATCGAGGCTCTCAAGTCATCTGCATGTTAGAATTTTGGTCCCTTCTGTCTTTGAATCCGTTATTGGTATTGGTTGTGGAACAAAGACATGTGACTCAGCAGATGATGAAATGGGTTGTTCTTCCTGACAAGCTTGATTTGATCAAAGGACATCATCGCCAAGAGGTAAACAGTGAGAAATTCATTAAACTGTACCTCTTGAAAGTTGTCCTCTCGCGAGTGTAGGGTAAAGTAATCTGTATCATACAGATCTCGCTCCGTAGGCATAGAAGCAATTGCAACATGAAATGTACCAAATGTTCCTGAAACAGCAGAAGAAAGTTGTCCAGTCGTCCATCCTGTACTGTGCTCTAACTTGCGATGTAGCCTTTTACTTCCCAGTTTTTTCACTAGCTGGGGACATAGAATTACGATCAATTTTCCTTATATTCAAGGTTTCTAGATAGTACCATTACGATGGTGAAATCTAGCAGATTGGCCATCTACCATCTAGCAGATTGGCGTATTGCCAATCTGCTATAATGCACTGTCCAATCCTACTGTTAAAATCTGGGTACCATGTTCAGCCTGTTATGAGGAAGGACGAATAGATCCACTTTGAACCTTCTTAGAGTTTGGAATCAACCCATCAAACTTATTCCCTGTTATACCTTCCATGTCCAGTAATCAGAGTTGTCTTAGGGAGATCTTTTTGGTTATATAATAAAGAACTTTCTGTCGATTCTGATAAGCTAGGTTTTTGCTTAGAAATCTCCTCCCGTCTATGAGCATTCGACTCCACATCTGCTTCGAGCTTGCACATGTACCTGTTCTAATCACCATTTTGTTTCCAGGACTTGGGTGAGTTGTAACATTACCACGAATCCTTTGTTGCCAAATAAAATAATCGGGCAGAAAATCAAAATTCATTCCTTTTGGTGATATTCAACAGTTATCAGAATTAATTCTTTTTTATCTTTCTGACCGTTGAGCTTCCTATCCCTGTTGTGTACAACACGGGCATATGTTGTAAAAATTGCTAGGGTATTGATATGTTTTAAGATATTATAACAATATATAGATATAAAAACTTACTAAAATATGAAAAATTACATATGTATATGTGGGCCTTTTCTGCTAAGACATTTCCGAACTCATTGTTATGGAAGTCCGTGTAGGAATCTCCACCCATTGGTTATTATTACACTTGTTTTGAGCCAAAAGTAATAGTAATAATAAGCTTATAATAGAGATATAGACGTGGTACTTTTCTCCAATGCCAAGTACATTACAAAATCATTGTGAGTCCTGTCTTTACATATTCCCCCGAGGTTTACCAACAGTTGTCAAAACATCGTCAGCACCATTGGCGTGATCTCATCTCCCAATAGTAGTTTTCCCATCCTCCGTCCCTTTGACTTATCCTTGCAGTAGGACGGTTCCTTTCTCTTGTTTTCGCTGTCGAATCGTTTGTCTTTTCTCATCCCATCGTGTAGTCCAAGCCTCAGAAGTCTTACTTGCCTGTGCTGGACCCTATCAGAAACCAAGTGAAAACACGCAACTCGAAGGGTGGTCACATACGTCAACCTGTATCTAAGATATTTTGACAATCCAAGATAAACTTTCTGAAAACCACGTGGCTGTTTCCAAGTTTATACACAGAAACGTATCCTAAGAAATTTAATGAAGCACTAACGTGGTTGTTTTGTGTCGATACAATGATACATAGTCTACATGGTTGGTGATTCGCAGCACTAGCTGAAGGTGTCTGTAAGAATTATACACATCCATGTGCACTTGGACCCTGTGACGAAGTATAAAGAGTGGAAATCTCAATGCCTCATGGTTAGGGTTGGAGGCACAGCAAAGTATTTTGAGGCATGCCTATGCCCCCATTTCACGGTCAAAAGGCATGCCCCATGCCCCCAGGCATGCCCGTACTGAAATACGTACATTTGACGTATTTGAAAATGTACATCTATGAGAATAAAACATTTTTAAAAGTAAAATGGTCGAAAAGTTCCAGAAAATACGTATTAAATTTTTTTGGAAGAACCCGAACGAGGCATGCCCCTGTGCCCTCCCCCGGGGCATGCCCCTTGAGTGTGTGCCTCCAACCCTAATCATGGTGCTCTCTTGACCCTTGAGTCTGTGCCTCCAACCCTACTCATGGTGCTCTATTGACGATCAGTAATATTATTGAAACTTGTCATGTTGTCTTGCCAATACCTTTGCCAAAGAATTTTGTTGAAGCATTTTGCAGAACACTGTCAAATCCCAGGTGTTGCATACGGTTACTGTACTAGTAAATTGGACAGGCAGAATTGCAACCTCTATATAGATTTTAGTCTACCATATTTGGCTACAACTTACTTCAAATTAAGCTACAACGTAATCCAAAGTATTTTCAGTGTACTCAATAATCTAACGTATTTTAGGATTTCTTGTTGAGTAACAGAGAATTATATAGAGGTGGTTAAACTCGAAAAATAATTATAGTAATACGTTTTTAGTTATAAAATAATATTCTGATTGACTTTAGCTAGTTTGGCTATGATATATTTAATTATGATGAATTGAAATAGAAATTATTTTTTTGATATAGAATAAAATTTATAAAAGATCCTTGGGGTAAAACATGAATGAAATAAATTTTGTGACCAACCTATATTTTAACATGAACCTCTTGGGTTGTTTGTTACTGTGTATCTTGATTTGGATTCATAAAGATACTAGCATCTAACCTCATATCAAATTTAAAATTTGATTAGATTAAATTGCTAGTTTCGGTAAAATATGTTTGTACATGAATTTAGATTATATTTAACCAAATTTCTGGTAAAATATCATCAGTTTTGAATCAAGTATTCAACTGTTTGATTCAAATTTTACAAAAAGATTAAACTAAACACATTGCTTTACCTAAATCCTAAGTGTAGCATGGAAAGTTATTGCTATTCTATTACTTAATTACTAGTTTTACAAACTATTGATCAATTATATAGTTTTGATAAGAAATTTTGTTAACCCTTAGCAATGTACTTTATTACTTAGATCATGAAGTTTTTTTTTTTTTAAATTCACTAGATTGTATACAAAATACGAAATATTCTGTAAGCTTGCTTGTCTTTTTTCTTCGATTTGAAAATTATTTAGAATAATTTTTGAAATTTGTTAAAATCTAAAAATATTTCTTTCAAATGCATGCAATAGCTTTATATTCTTGAAAACAGAAACTGATTTTTTGACCGCTAATATGTCTAGATTTAGTCTATTACAAATTACAAAAGCACATTCCTTAAATATCATCATAAGCATAACCATTATAAATAATTTTAAAAACTTGAAGTCTATATTTAAAAAAAATCTCTAAAATACATAGATATAAAAATCATTTTGAAACCAAAGAGATGATAGTTTTAAGATACACATCTTAGCAATGTGTTCAATTCTCAACATCATATAATTTGTTTTGTCTTTGATAAACAATAATGATGTACAAAGTCAACATTATGATTGTTGTTATTATAAGAATTGCAGATTTAGTGAGATTAGAACAAATTTACTTGTATATCATCTTATGTTCAAGTTATGCATTACAAAACAGCTTGAAAAATAATAAGAATATTTGATGATTGGTTATATCATTTTAAAAAGGATTATTCGAACTATTTTTAAAAATAAATACTATCAAGTAACCACATATTTGTCACAGTCATATTGCATATTGATACATTTGAAACATAATGTTCGGTTTGTCGTGCGACTCGGTATCGTCATACATCGCTGACATGCTCTATTCACCCACTCACAAATACATAAGGAACAAGAATGTACACACACAAATGTATCACAACTAGCCCCTCTAGCTGGCAGTCAGATCCCTCTAACTCCCATGTATCCCTATCTACAACTATGTGGTATGCACCTTCATGGATATGAGACCTAGTAGGCCGGATGCTATGTCGCCCCATTGTTAGTCGCCTATCTCCAATGCTACATGCCAACTTGGTAACACGAAATACACATACGAGTCGAGTCAAACTCACTCCACTAGGTAACATAAAGTCGAAGCTAGCGGGAAACTCCCTATGCAAAAGTCTCAACTCGAAGAACTAACAGTTTCTTCGAGTTTGCATCAACTATACTCCCGATGTAGCGTCGACCCAACGTCAACGTTACCTGTGTCTCAACGTCACCCGTGTCCCAACGTCTATCGACTCAAACTCGAATCCAACGTGTATACACATGACATGTTAATTTTAAAATCATCTACACTTATATCATAGAGACTAAGTAAGAAACTATACTCTAGATCTGTAACTTCACAAGAGAGATTTTTCACTTCATAAGAGAGAATGTATATCTTGTAAAGCACAACATTGAAGTCTCATATCCATGACAATGAATTTTGAATGTACATGATTTTTCACTTCATAAGAGAGAATGTATATCTTGTAAAGTACAACATTGAAGTCTCATTTCCATGCCAATGGGTTTTGGATGGCCATGAGTTTGACATTATTTTTCATGTATTGGCAAGGGTTGTTATTATTTTCAAATGGTTTCGGAATCCATGTACATCAATAGTACTTGAGAACTGAAATCTAATCTATTTATCATGTTAATACAATGTATTAACATGACACAAGTCATTGACGTTGAACTCATTGAAAAGTCGAGTAAGCAAGAACAATGCGCATTGCGCAAATTAAATCTTTTCATGCTTGTACCAAAGAGTACTTATAAATCTTACAGACATTGATTTTTGATATTTTACCTGCAATCATATTATTTGGATGAAGACTTCTAGCTCTAGTTCAATAAATGCACAAGTGATGAAGAAGAAATTAAAGAAAACACTGTATAATGATGTTGATAATGTATTTTTGCTGCGCAAGAATCAAACTGGTACGAAATCTGCTATTTGGAAAAAGTTCGACATCATGGAGAAACATGATAAAGACTGCGAGTTCGCAGCCTACTTCAGCTGCAAAAGAGCATACAAGTTGAAAAAAACTACTGGTATCAGAACCATGAATAATCATAAGTGTCTTAAGATTGAAAAATCAGAGAGTGGAGCAATGTAACAATCATCAACCCATTACATTTGATAAGAAGAACATGACTCTTGCGGCTACCAACTTATGCACGATTGTTTTTTGATCATTTGAATCAATAATTGAACAAGGTTTGAAAGGATGAGTTTCAAACAACTCTGAACATTGGTGTTCCAAGCAATAAGCGAGTCATGGTTAATAACTTGTTGTATCAATCAATTACAGCCAAACGCAATATAGAGGTGCACTATAATGGCAAAAAGTCTTAAAAAACATATTGATACTGACGTATCTATGATAAACACCTATCAATAAGGTAGTTTACATATCTACTAGTACAGTGGAACCTCCGTATAAGGTACATACTATTTGCTCCAAAATGTTTCGCGTTTGTACCTTATGACATGGATGTACCTTATATGGAATACCTCTAACATCCTAATTTAAAATAATGATGAAATCACTTGGATTTATTGAAAATACTGATCAATTGAAGATTGCTTAAGAGTTGAAAGATACAGAGCCTGGATTGTTGATTTTATGCCCAACAAGTCCATCTCTTCTTTGAAGAGTGAGTTGGTTTTTGCAAAGACGATCAGATCAGTAACCATTTCTTTTGCATGTGCACATGAAATCGCTTTTGGCGGTTCCGGCTCACTGTCTGCAATCACAACGGCGATTTCCTCCACTTTGTCGTCATTGACATCGTCAATAAATTCTTCAACCAATTATCCAATGAGGCTCTCCTGTTCTTGAATTTTGTTTTCTGGCAAATTCTCCTCAACAACAATCCTAGAACTGTCAAGCCCAATCCTTTGCGCCAAAGAAACCAGCTCTTGTTCTTGTTGCAAAACCTCTGTCATGTCTTGTTGCTTTACAACTGCGGCTGATGTGAAACCGCATGTGACAAAACATTTTTGAATAGTTTAAGGTTTGACAATGTACTTAGATTTTTCTTACGAATTTGATCGCGTCCAGCACTGTTAGTTTCTTTGCAAGATCTGATGCATGAACAGAAGATTTTTCCATCAAATCGAGCAAGGTAAGCACCTCAAACTTCCGTGAAAGAACTTTCAAGCTGTGAATGATGCCTGCATCAAGTAGCTGTAGCACTGATGTCAGATTAGGAGTAAAGAAACGATGATCGACATTTGTGAGTTTTGTGGCTTCGTCAATAATATGGACATGGGCGTTATATAAAAAGAGCAATATCTTGCGGCCTTGACGTTTAAAAATTCATCCATATCTTTCAAATAGATATTGAACAATGTATTTGTCATCCACACCTTTGCACTATTTGAATACTTGGCCTTGAATTTGCTCATATCAACGCCCCTGAATGGTCGAGGATTCTTGGACTTTCGGATAATCAATGGAGGCAGTTTCTCTCCCAAAGCAGACCAAGTTAGAGCCACTGTGACCCTGTCTTTGCCTTACTTTCCGCCTTTACATGATTGAGCGACATGGTTCAATGTTGAATTTGGCAAGGCTCGCAAAACGAAACCGGTCTCATCCATATTGAAGACATTCTTGAGATCATATCCAAAAATAAACGACGTTAATGATGTTTTCAATTGAACAACAACCTCTAGATCTACATTTTTAGATTCCCCACAAACCTTGTACGACCGAAGATTGTTCCTTTGCTTCCACTTCTGCAGCCAGCCTTCAGAAGCCGTGAATTCGTTGACAACTTCCAAACAATCTGCGATTTGTTTTGCCTTTTTCTGTAGAATCGGGCCACCTATAGAATACCCACGCGCTCTCGCTGTTGCAAACCATCTCCATAAAATGACATTAAAGTCTCTCTGCTGAACTATTCTGGCCTTTGATAGCGCACGATTGCTTTGTGCTTCTTGTATCAGAGATTTCCGTTTTTGCTTTGCAACTTGAACGGTTCCTTTGGATAATGAAAACTTATCAACTGTTTCACTGACGCTGTGTCCATTGTCAAGGTATTTGATCATGACAACTTTGGTGCTTAGATTGACCAGCTTGCGCTTCTTCTTGTCAGGCATCACCTTCGACATCTTGAAGAACCCAATCTGGATGGCGACTGTGTACCTTATATAGAACTACGTAGCCACTCCGCGGCCAGTTTGGGGTGTACTTTGCGTCCCAAAGAGAGATGTACTTTTTATATAGAGTTTTTACTTAGGAAAATCAGGGGGTTTGCTGATTAAAAAAAATTCCGTACCATATATGGAGATGTACCTTATACGGAGGTTCCACTGTACATTACGTTGATGAAGAATTTGATCTCTTGAATCAAACATTGCATGTGAAGCTTGATGAAAGCCACACATCCATCATAGTTTTGGACAAATTCAAGAAAGATTTGTACATTTTTGATATCAAGGATTTGATGCTTGATAAAATTATTGATTGTGGCTAAATATGATATTTGAAGCGAGTTTGACTTGTTAGTATGCATTGACTATAAATTCACAAATTTTCTTATTTACATATTCAACAAGATTGCGAAACAAAGTTAGTTTGACTTGTTATGATGCATTGATTATAAATTCGCATATCTACATATTCAACAATATTGCGAAACAAGTCCATGGTAAGAAGAGCAAGTCTTTTCATCTATACCTTGATTAATCCAACATGGCGGTTCTATATACTCTCATTCATGCTTGTAAGAGTTTGATCACATACTTTAAAAAGTCAGATCTTCAATCAAAATTGTCAAAAACGTTGAAACAACAGAATGTAATCATATGAAACTTGCTATATTTTTGCTTGCTTAACGCTTTAAAAATGCTAAATGAGATGATTGATCTCGTGAAACATCTTGATGCATTGTGGAAAGTTGACTCAATATCAGAGATCTTTTTTTAACATTTAAAACGTGTTGTCACCATTTCAACCGTCAATTTTGAATCTTGAACAATTCAAAGAGACTACACAACACAAGGTTTTATTTTGGTGATTTCAATTGTTGAAGCATCTAAAACCTGTTATCAACGATGTGATTAATAACAGTAGTGCCGTGGAAACGAGCAAATAGTTTTCTTTTGATCATAGCTTGTAAACGTCTCTTGACACTCTTAGTGCAAGAGAATATGGAGCTCAACGTGCTTCATGTAGTAAAAACACTTTTAGATCCCGTGACAAAGAACCATATGCGCAAGATGGAGGTTAGTAAAGCTTTAGTTACTAGAGCGAAAGCAAAATTAAGAGCATTTATCCGGTAGATTGAAATAGGTGAGGTTTTGAGACATTGAATTACGAGAAAATGATGCATTGGATACATCAAAAAATGATGCATTACTCATCGTACATGACAACTATGTACGATACGTTTGAAGAAGAGTTAGAAGAGATTTATGAAAAAAGGCTGAAACTTTAATTGTCAGCAAACTCGACGCTCCTATTGATCTTGAGTTCAGCATGTATGAGACATACAAGGTCATTCATCTAAAAACAATGAGATCATTGAAGCAATGAGCTCAGCATTTCCAATTATTCCAGATACAACTGCTAAATTCAGTATTCTCTGATGGTGGAAGCAAAAAGTAGCCTCCACATTTCCCATCATGTTGAGAGTGGCGCGTTTGGTTTTGTGCATACCCGCATCCAAAGAAACTAAGTGTGCCGTCTGCATTAGGCTCTTGGATCCTGCTGTATTATCGTGAAGTTTGTTCTCACCGTGGGAAAAGAACATACAACTGTGTTCGGAAACACAAACAGCATTCTGTTCTCCAGTTGATCCCGCATCAATAGTTGAAGGGACGTGTTGCACTCGTCCTTGCTTTAACTCGATTTTCCTGACTGCAATCAGACTTGGCTTCCGGCTCATAACTGTGATTGTCCAGAAACTGTTCCTTAGGCGAATCTGCACAGGCTCAGTCAATCTGGATCGCTTTTGCAGAATCCTGTCGGGACAACGTCCAAGTACATTAAAGCTGGCGACGGCTCAAATTTACTTTCTTCGCACTGGTTACCAAAGTAGCTCGGCTGTTAATTATTGATGTTACTTGAGGTTCGATGACACACGAGGAGAAGAAGAGGCTATGCAGAAGATTGATTTGATAAATGTCCTCTACCCTGGTCGAGGAAATGGCCGAGGTAGTTCTTAGAGGATCGTACCACAACCCAGCTCTTGTTAGATCCCTGATCCAGGAAAGTTGATAAATATTCAGTTTGTGCGAAGGTTCGATACATTGATCTTCTTAATCCGGCTATGGCTGGTAGATGACGAGGCCGGCGGCGTTATGACTAAGAAATGACTAAGGAGCACGAAATGAAGGTCAACACGTTCTTCTTTTTCGTTCAGAACCTTATCAAGCACTTGATACAAACTCCATACACTTCAATGCTGTCGTCATCGGGCAAATATGAAGCGAAGGGTCCACCTCAACTTAACACCCGATCACTTTCATAAGGTTTTGCTAGTTTCGACTGCGGTACCTACCTGATAACTCTAATCTTTGCAAAGTCAAAACTTTCATAAATGAAGACAGACGGAGAGAACGAAATCCATCCTTCAATTCTTCAAGGGAGTAACCCAAAGGCATTCTTGTCAAAGCTTGAGTCGTGCAAAAATAAAATTTGCAAAAGAAGAGGGCAGCCAGTGATGAAATTCACAAGAAAAACTTGTGCCTTCACCAATTTCCTTGATCACACTTGTGATTTCTGGAAACGCAGGGTTTACATCCTTTGTACCGAAAGAACCTTAGAGCATCTCCTACTTTGAACACTGTGAGTGACCTAGTGCTTCGCAGGAGTGTGCCGCTCCACGAACATAATCAACACATAACAATTCTATGAATTTCTGCACTGTGAACACAACTCTCTCATGGACATACATGAACAACCGAAACGGACGAAATTGTGATTCAAAAAAGCCAGCCTGTTCTTTCCTCATCTACCTTAATGACAATTATAACAATCGAACTACGTAGCATGGTTAGCTGGTAGTCTACTTTCTCCTTCTTTATCGTGAATTTTATCATACGTTGCCTTCTGTGTATCATACTCTGATTGACCTTCCTGCCTGACGTCAGTTCCTCGTTGTTAAAGACAGAAACGATGTAAAAGTTCGATGAAGTAGTAGCAAACAAATCTGGCTGAATGATCTGACGAAAAATCGGAGAATCTTCACAACATTCTCTTTCAAGATATTGACCTGTCAAACAGCTGTGTATGGATATCTGCCCAAGGAGTTCCAAAATATATATTCGCCTGATATCACCTGCAATTAGTGGCAAGCAGGTAAAAATAAAACTGTCAGCAAAATGCATTTTCGTGCTGAACAAAGGAGTTAATCCCTCGGTGACTTTGACCAATGCATCGACCATATTTGAAGAGTTCGATAAAAGTTAACCCTGATATCTCCCCGAATTAAAAACCAGACAAATCTATGCGACCATATTGTACCAGATTGTCTACTAAGCCTTAGCACAACAAACTGGTCTGAAATTCTTTCACAACATTCTAATCTTCTCTATCATTACACTGTTGGTTCATGTGGACTTTGAGTTCATTCATTCTCTCAACACTTTCTTGACAACAAGTTTGTGCAAATACAAAGTGTGGTCAGCATAGAACACCGAAGAAGGTACTAGATAATAAATTTGCCCCATTTGTCCGCTTATGTGTTTCTCATAGCCAGGCGCTCGCCAGCCTAATCCAAGACCTGAACTGTATTGCGGGTGGTCAACCACAATAGCATGTACATAGATCATCGACTGAATGTTCTTCTCCTCCGTTAACCTACAGGCTTCAGTCAAATGGTGACAGAAAAACAAACAAATTTGCAGAAGGGCAAACATACACGCTATTAATATTGATAATCTTTTGTAGTTTTAGAAGAAATTCAGGTTCGTCTGTTTTGAGAGGTCGATACAACTAAAGAATCTTGACGTACCTGAGCAGAGAAGTCGCAAGGTGGCTTAGCAATTTGCGGATATATTGATACCTGCGGTGAAAATAAGATGCACGCGACCAATCAGGGTAAAGGCTACAAGGTTTCCAAATTTTATCTGCAGACAATTTGAGCTAAGTAGGGAAGTCTCACATTGCTCAGAGGCCTGGAAAAAAAGACTGATGCAGGTGATTACGAGTGAAAGTATCCACTATATAACCATCCATAAGAAGCAGCAAGCATTATTTCACGTTGTAATCTGTTTAACTTTTGTTTCGAGTCAAAGTTCTTTGAAGATAACGAACTAGCTAATCTACAGCAGACGCTGATTAATATATCAACTGACCCCAAGCCTAGTTAAAGACTGTTGGAAAGCTTAGCATTTGACAAGCACGGAAATGCCTTGCATCGGGGGTTGGGTTTGTTTATACGCTGATTATCTACAAAAAAAAAAGACATAAGTCTCGTAGTGTCACATGTACTTGCGATCGACGGACTTAAAAATAATCACAAATTGTGATCAGAAAAACTGGTCAGAAACAGTACACTAAATTGTCCAACATTCGCAGCAGCTCACAACACTTAAAAAAGTTGTAGACTTACAGATTTGGGATCAATAGAAATGCCTGACATTGTTCCTCCCAGTATTTTAAGCGAAGCCTGCAAGTGTTTTTCCAGTTCCATCAAATCAGCTGGGGCGTTGAATACATTTCAACCCCTTGATGATCAAACGACAGAGGCACGTCAAGGCAATCAGGACCCGTATGTAAGGAGAGCTCAAAGTCTTCTTCCAGTAAAAATCCAGCTTCCTCAACGACATTACATGGCATCGTGTAAACTTTCTTTGCTCTCTACCTTTGCGTAATTGTATGCCCCCCAGCAAAATGGTTCCTCCCAATCGGCAGGATCTGCTCCACCATCTCCGGCTTCTGCTCCTTCAAAGTTGGTATTTTGAGCATCACCTTCACCATCACTCTCCTCGTAGGGGTCTGCAGTTGCGTACTGAGACACACGTCCTGAAGTGGATTCGGGAGCAAACTTGACTGTTCCTGAGAAGGTGACCTCATTGTGTTTCGAAGAATGTCCGCGTCCAGTAACAACGATTTTCCATTCAATAGCGTGTTCAGTCGTGACCAGTTGACCGTAAGATGGTACACCATCCACGGCAAGAATGCGGCGCCTAGGAAATGGGATAGTCAAAGAGCAGTTGTCCAAAGAAAGGGGAGGCTTCCAGCCCTCCATAAGTTTCATTCTGATTAGAAAGGCTCCTTCGTTTTTTGAGACCATTGAGAGTTGATAGAAACCTTTCAAAGGAGGTTTCACGACTGACGGCAAAGCGGTATACCTTGCCAGTACGAAGTTGCCTAAAGGAGGTGAAAATGTGACTGTCAGTCTGTCCGGACCTTGCTCTGGAACCTGTGCACACGGATGGAAGGTGACCGCATGGGGCTGACCGGAACTAGGACAATGAATAGGAAGAGTGATATCGGGCAAACCCTCCAAATCTGCACGACACAAAATCTGTCCTCCCAACGTGATAACATCGGCTACATTGTCCCGGTCATAAAGAGCTGCTGTAACCACTTCGTGCACTGTAAACAGCATTTTCGGCTTGCCTCTGTAAAGATAAGGCTTCCACGCGGGCTGTCTAAGTTCTGGGTGTGGAACATCTTGAGAAGTAAACCCAGTTGACCTGACAGTTAGAAGACTCATAGGGTTGAGATCTAGGGGTGTCCCTGCAGTGATAACCAGAGATGAATGTATAGATATAAGCCTCTCGTGTCCGGCGGAAAGATGTACAACATACACTCAGGTGGATGGAAGTAATTAACGTGAGAACACAACACCAGGATAATCAAAATCGGAAATGCTTCACTTCAGGTCGTTCCAAGCTTCTCACCAAAGGGCATAGCACTGCTGATAAAACTCCGTAGAGCATCCTTGTCCGACTTTCCAAGTCCTTTCCCTCCATGATGTACGATAGCTGAAGTGGCAGTTGCTGCCGCCGCTGCAACAGCGGTGGCTGCAGCTGCTACTGGGACAGTGACGGGTTTTGCACGCGCTCCTATCCCTGATATTCCAGCACCAATGCTGGAAAGTCCCATGCCACCGGCGAGTGTATCAAGGAGTCCTCCCATAGTGGATGCGGTGTTGATATACATTTCTGGTTCAGCAACCTCACCCGTGACCACCTCTCCCAAAACTTGAGCCAATGCAAGGGAGCTGGCCATAAAATATGGAAGGGATGAAAAGTAGTAAGCCTCCAACGATAAATATCTAGCTCTTTCAACACCGACTTATCAACTTATCAACTTATCGACTTATCAAGATACTGGCAGATAGCAGAAAATCCGACATCTGAAAAATAATTTGTTTAAAAACAAAACAAAACATATCGACATTTTCCCGAAGTGAAAAAGTTCTGGGGCATGATTTGCTCGTGAATATTAATATTAGACTTTCGATGACGGCAAGCAATGTAGAAGCGTTCAGCAATCACGAGAAAAATCATGGAGAATCGTAAATAACACCAGCATTACCCGGTAGGTAGTAAAGACCTGCATTACCCTGTGATGCAGGGAAGATCCAGGAGGATCGTAGAGAGGCTGCTCGCAGCCTCTGTGTCTTCTCCTGTGGCGGCCCCACCACAATCAATTCTATGGCAGAGGTCTTCATATGTGAGTAAATGCCGTGGTTCCACCAGAGGCAAGACCAGAATTTGATAAGTACCACTCATGTGCAATACTACTGGCCACAACATGCCGGAACCTTCATTGCCTTCTAGTTGAAGGCTGATGACATGTCTCGTGATAAGTTCATCCAGCCATGAGTCAGATCCTTCTTCAGAGTGTGGAGTCCGTATCCCACATCCTGCAACTGTCCCTTCCCTGAGTTCCCGTTTCCCAGTCAAGCGTTGATTACATGATCCTCAAATCAGATATGTGAAACTCCTTCGGATAATGTAAACGATATTTGCTAAAAAAAATAAAACGGCGAAGGCTTAATAGCCTCATGCAACACTAAGATCAACGAAACCGCAGATGAAAGTAGCCAGTAAAGATAGAAACGATCATGAGCAGAAGAATGTCCAATAAAAGTTTGACACGAAACTCTAGATATCATGTAGTCGGCTTTCCGCTCTCACACAGTAAAATATAAGGTTCACATGGTAAAAAGAATATCACCTTTGTTTGCGATCAAGAAATGCTTGGATCAATTGAGAATCCATGGGAATAGGGAGGTACTTCATGCCAGGAGTGTTTGGTACAGCATCCTCTTCTAATTTCCTGCATGCTTGCTGCCATTGCCTCTCGACAGTGGGAAAGCGCCTGCTCATAACCACAGACACTGTCATAAACTCCTACTTCTGAAATAGAACCGCATTCTTTTATAACAAACTGAATGTTTCACGATATTGAAGTGACATCAGCTGCTCAACAAGACGGGCACATGCAACCTCTCTCTGCATGAAATATGAGGTTCTACAAAGCTGCTAAAACATTAGTCGACAGCAAAAACACATTGTCAAAATTTTGACCAAGCATCTTGTTCTGGACTGGAACATGGAATGCATCCCTAATTTCGCCGGATAATTATGCAGATAAATCATGATGACAAGTAGATTTCTCGAGATGACATATGTGCATGGGAATTAAGACTCAGCGAGATCCGACTCATGAACAAGCAAATTTATACGTGAAGGCCGTCCTCTGGTAAACTTTCTGATCAGCAGGCATTTGGCAATCTTACTCAGAAACTTCACCTGGAAAACACAAGCTTCGATGTACGATTCAGAATCCAAATCGCCCTTATACTGCACCCACGCATTTGCAACGTCTGGTGCCCGGAGGCACAAACCCAATCTTCCCCGTGAGACCCAACGCTCGCGGGATTCCAAAATTCACAGCTCAAATGCTGCAGTCAGCGCTGATCTCCCGACAGGCACAGGCAAATGTTCCCCAACACTCATTTCCATCAACCAGTGCCCGAAGGTGTCGAGCTCATGGGTAAACACGTCGGGAAATTAGGCAGCCACGGAGAAAGTCAAAACCATGCAGCTCAAATAGATAGAAGATCTACTCCGCCCTGTCAGAGAGCACACGAGCAAGACCTCGAACGCGATCGAGCCTTCAAATCCAAGGCCTCTGACCAGCTTGCGTGCGTGCGTGCCTGATCAACCTCAGAGGCCCAGCTCGAATTGAGCCTGTCAACAGCCCGCCTTCGCCTGAAAGGTGATGCACTCCGACGGCAACATGTCTCGGTCGGAATTTCGTTTGTGCCCACGTAGCAATCACAGTAGCACGAATCAAAAGCTGACGTCTACCACGCTAGATCGACCGCGTTCTTCACAAGTGCGTAGATTTGCTTGCTCACTGACCGACCGCACAGTAGCTGACGACACGACAGCGGGGGCGCGATGATGATGAGGCAACCCCTTTCCGATCGGCGGGTCCATGCAAGAGTTGTCCGATCACCACGCCATGATCGCGAGTCTGTAATGCAGCCCCGAGACAAAGATACCATCGACGACTGATGAAGGCAAGTACAAATTCAGAATGGGCCAGATGGATACCAGAATCTATGGCAAGACTCCGTCATTCTTTTCTTTGTGTGCGTACACGGGAACAGGTGATAAAAACATTATGACGAACCAATACTATTTTGATTTGGAATATATCTTGAAGCAATTACAATATTTGATTCATTAAAATATTCGTAAGCAACACTAACATTTGATATATTATCACCTAATATGATTGAACTCGAGCCAATATTCATCGATCTTCAGCTAACAATGGAAATATGTCATGTTACATAATTAAGACATTTAATTAGATAAAATGATACACCATGTTCAACAGTACGTTAGGTTCTGGTGCAATCACTTACCATAATGTCAAACTCCTCATCAATAGATCAATGTAAATCAAATGCTAGGTTATGTAAAAGGTGACATTTTTACATGCTCTATACTCGAACATTTATATTTGTCATTTTACATTTTCAAACCATACAAGAAGATAACTAATCATCATTCATATACTCTTTTGGATGTAGGAACAATAACCATCATATATGCAGTACTAATTTTTTTATCCTAAATTATGTATAGATTCGTCCAAATTAACGTTGATTAGATTGATAAACGATGTAATGTCTTGTAGTTATCGCAAATCAGCGGTATTCTCCATGTGAATCATATGTATATTAATGATATTGTAAACCACATAATGTATAATTAAATTTTTTATATGAATCATAATATATTTCTATTAATCAATTGATTATAATGTATGATACTTTTGTCTAAATCAGGTTATGTGTTCCATTTTCTAATAGATGATTATGATTTTCATTGAGTTTCATTTGGTATGTTTTAAGATCAAGATGACAAAGTGTAGAGTTTGGCATACAAGAGTTATACCTATTCATCTGTAGGTTACAAAGTGATGTTTGATATGCATTTTATATATATAATGCATATCAAACATATGTTATAATTAAATTAGGAGTGTAAATTGTATCCATGGTATATCTCATGAATCCTGAATTAAGCATTGGGTTGTGATTGCGAAGCAATTTTTCAATCTATATTTACATATTTCATCTTTATTTTACTAAGAATATTTACATGTAATGTTTCATAATTGTACTCTATTATTACTCGTTGATTCACCTAATCTATTCACATGTTTTTACCTTGATAAAAATTTTGAATAATGGCTGGATAAATTCGATAGGTGGATCATTAGCTTATTCTATGACATCATCTGAGCAAAAAGCTTTAAATATATAACAAATGTGTTGCACTGAGATAAACATCTTTGAAGATTTTTATGAGAAGCAATGTGTCTATTATCAAGGGAGTAGATGACACCTTTAGCATTTTTGGCCAGTGATAAATTTCATACTTTTTCACTATGAATGCAAATAAATACAACCTTTAACTTTCTTCTCTGAAACCTATCACAACATATGATTGCTGTGTTTTTGAACTCCAATGAAACAAGGAAGAAAGATTTCCACAATCATCAACTTGTCACTTTTAGCAACACACTCGTATTTATGATATGTGCATCAAGCATTTTATATATTACTATCAGCCAAATCATGAAAAAAGACAAGTTGACTCATGCATTAAAACATTTGCAATAAAATTTTTATAGATGATAAATTCTTAAAGTCATCAAAATAACACCTCAAATAGGATGAAAAGTTTGAGAAATTACATAATTTAAAAAGATGTAACAAGGATGATATAAATTTATGTAAAAATTCCCTTTTCATAATTTTGACCTTACAACATTAGTTCCATGTGTAAAATTGAATGAATAAGGTTTTTTCTATATATATAAATCAGAATATGTTTTACTTAAATTTAGTTCCATGTGTTGAATGAGATAGTGAGATATATTTCAAGACTTATATATATATATATATATGAATTATGTGCAAGTAGTTACAAGTCAATTGTTTTGTGTTTGCAATAGAGTTAATTATACAGTATTATTTTTATAATAAATATATAATAAGTGATATAATGAACTGCTAATGTGATACATGTAAATATATTTTAATCTAAGATTTTATAGAAAATCATTTAGCGACAGTTGTTGAAGAATCTAAGTAAGATGCTAATAACATAGTAGCATGAAATATGAGTACCTTAGTTGTGAAATGATGAAAATTAAGTTAGTTAGACAATGATATGATAATGATATATCATGTGAAAAATTCAAAAGAAATTAAATAAAATTTTTTGAGTCATTCACCGTATCAAATATATAGAGAGTATGAACATAAAGTTGTGTGAAATATTTTTTTGGGAGCAATTTTTCCGTCAACATTTTTTTATTTGCTTCAAAGGATATGTCAAGAATTATATTTTTGAAAGCATCATAACATCAAATTGATTTATATTATCAAATCATGGATTACAAATGTTGTGATGCTATCAATTCCATTTATTACAACAAATAAAATATGCATTTCTTAAAACAAATAATAAAATCATGGTGATGTATAATAATATCACATTTGAATATGATGATTGTGTTAAAAGTTCTCAATTATACATGAGTACTATATGATCTGAGTTTACAAATCTCTGATACATGATTAGCTGAGATCCACAAACATGCATCTTACTAGAGCAAGATATTAAACCTTCATTTTTTTGTGAGGAGTGGAAGGATTAAGGGAAGAAAAAAATTTGTTGTGATGTTGAAATCAATAATATATCATATGAATCATTTATAATTTTTGGATTTAGAGAAAGATTGCAAGAGCTTATTTTGGACATGAAGAAAATATCATGTCTTGTTTGGCGCCAAATCATATGTAATTAAAATGAGAATATGTTCCAATTCCACTCATAGATCTTATGGATGAAACTAACTAGAATTAAGAATAAAAGAAGAGTATTCCTAATTAGATAATAGCATTGTGATATCAATTCTCTCTATAAATAATGAGATTAGATTTTGGCCTATTATTGTTAGATAAATATCACGAACTAAGTAAAGTCTTCTCTTTCTCTCTCTATATATATATAATATGATGTCATCCAAAATGTCATTGAGATCTTTACAAATGATGTCAGTTTTGATACGAATGCAGATGAAGTGTGGATGCAGAGAAGATTATTGCATCAACCACGTAGACTTTAGAATGCATGCAAAATTAATACTTACCGCTTCAACTAGCAAATGAAGTTGATCTTTATGTGCTACGTGCTCTCCAAGTTCTTCATACTAAAGAGTACTCAATTCTTAAAGAAATCTGAAGAATGAATATGCCGTATATGTCAATATAATTCATCCCTATGTAAACTGAAGATGAATGTATATGCTCATAAGATACCAAACACTTAAATTTTACATGTTTAAGTTTTACTCCAAAAATTGCAAAAAATAATAATAAATTCAAGTTATCATGTATATATATTTAGGCTATTATAGTACACATTATATCAAATTATTCACTCCATTGTACAGACTGTTTATGTGTTTTCTTTTGCCATAATTAGCCTTAGTTATCAAAATCATAGAAGGAAAACTGAATTATTAAAAATGCTTTTGTTCTCTGTAACGGGGCTTAAGCAGGTAGGCAGGAAATATCAGATTGTGGGTGACATATTAACCAGGCGATAACCGTTTGTGGATCCGGAACGTGGGCTGAGAATTTTCAGTTCGTTAAGATGGTCGAGGGAGGAGCGTGGTACGGAGCGCATCGGGCGGAGCCGGTAGCACGCGAGGAAGGCCTCCACTTGGCAAGGAGGCAGTTGGACGCTCCCGGCGACACACCTCGAACCCTTTGGCAGGCGCGCGTTCACACGAGAGTGCATGAAATGAAATGTACAGCGCTCTCATGCACGCCCACGAACGGACCCGCTCCTGTACGTGCTGCGAATCCGCCATCGACCGGTCCATGCATCGCCCCAGCATCCTCAGCATCCTCGCAGGGAGGCTCATGAGCTGATGCCCGAGGCCCGCGCATGTCTGTGACAGAAATTTTTCGCCGTCGGAGGACGAGCGGAGCGTCTGATTTCGAGAGTTACAGCGTGCTCGAACCTCCTGCTCAATTTCGCCGTATGGCTGATCGGAAGTGAGCCGTCAGATTGTATCATGTTAGAGACCTCGGTCGGGAAAAATGCGCGCGTCGAGAGGCTCTGAAACTTCCAAGCTGCAAAGTCTGGGAGGACTTGTCGAGGTTTTCATTCGTGCAGCGGCATTGGTTTTGAGGATCGTTGATCCCGTTGTTAGAGAGATTAATGTTGCAGGAAGTCAGTTCCGTCCCAGAAGTTGTAAGTTTTTTTTTTCTGAACGTGACACATCTTGCACCTTTCTTCCCAATTATTTTTGTTACGGGGTGTATCTGGTCAAAATCGAAAGTGAAAAATAATTGTTTTGTGAATTATGAAGTCATGCTTTTGTCTGTAATCCTGGATCGGGTGTGGCGGAAGGGGTGCGTTGAAATACCGTGTCCAGGAGAGCAAGAGGTGGTCTGTTAACTAATATTGTTGTCTGCACTAGGTTTTGGGTGATGAGGATTGTTTTCATTAATTATGTTTCAGAGTTCCGAGCAGGGAACTCGAGTCTTCCAGATCGGTTCGAAGTCCTGGAATCATATTTCTTGAGTGGTGCGGAGCTCATTGGGTACTGAAATATTTAGTCCAAATGATGGTGCAGGAGGTCATATGTTGTTGTGACAACCGTGAAGAAGGCAATCACAGTGATCGCAGCCGTAAAGTTCTGGTGCATGAAAAGCTGAACTGAAGTCTCACGTTTGAAGTTATGGAGAGTCCCACTGGAGGAACACCAGATCCAGGCGTGAGCCCAGCCGGCTTGGCGGAGCGGCTGGCAGGAATCAAGAAACCTTTGGAAACTACTCGCTCTTCGACAGGACTTTCTCTCCCTCTGCCGGGGACTAGAGACAGCAGAAACCAATTTAATTTGGCTAAGGCTCGTGCAGATGCGGCTGCGGCAGCTGCAGCTGCTGCTGGACCTGCAAGCTCCCTCGGTTCAACTTATAGATCAAGACGTCAATCAGGCAGTTCTCAAGTTTCTTACACCTCCAAGTAGAGACCTCTGCCCTCCCCAAATTTTTTTCGTTTTACTAGCTGGTACGAATGACATTGGTCCTTCTTTATGAAATTACTCTTGCTGAAACATGCCTTGCGTCATCTGAGACATGTGCTTTGAGACATTTTCCTTTGCGTCCACTCATGTCGTTGATCAGTGTCAATCACTTGCCTATATTTGGAAGTGGTTTGGGCAAACTTAGGCTTTATAATCTTATGACAATATTGAACAACCGAACAACTTAAGGTCTTTCTACCCACTTTCACCAAGTTTATAATTCATAGATCGTTCATGTTCTGCTTGTCGTAGATTTCTGCAACTTTCACAAGACGGTGCAGACGTTGTTCCTAATCAAGGTTCACATCTTTTCCTGTGTGTTGACACAGAACGAGTTACAGATCGACAAGTCAGCGGAAAGGCCGCAAAACCAAAAAGGGTGAAGATTTGACGACAGGAGAGAATGTACCGGTAGGTTCTAGCGCTCTAGAGTAGATGTTCGGAAGCCAACTAAATTCGTTATGCACGTCGTAATTACAAAGTTTTTTTTTCGATGACGTCGAGTTAAGTGAGAATTCGTCTATATATCCATCTATTACAAACCAAAAATTCTAATTGGTAGTCATTGCTCCTAGTAGCATGCCTTAATGAGCATCGGTGGATTGACCGCTACCTGGTATAAGAGGGGCATGATACATACTTGAGAACAGTACCTCACGGCAGCGGATCCATTCATGGAAGAACTTGGGGCAGTTGGGCAGGTATTTGATGAGAATGGGAAGGATGTGACCCCAAAGCCTCTAGTTCAGCTGAAACCCACGGTTCTCTATGACAAACTCTCACAAGCCAACGCAGGCCGAGTTTCTCCAACGAACGTGGAGGTGGATTTCTGTGGCCCCACTTTGAGGTGTGTTTCTGTGTCCCGCTCATTCTTTAGTATGTATCCGCTCATTAGACCAACCTTGCTCACTCTTTGAGCAGGCCCTTATAAACATGATGGTGTTGCTGTGATAAATGCCGCAGCCGGACAGGATACTCTATTACCAGCAGCGCCGGCAGTTTAACTCCAGAGACGGTGGAAGGAGAAGAATTGGACCGAGATGATGGAACGATGTCCGTCAAGTCTAGGTCACTATTGGGAACTTCCATTGGTATTCCTGAAATACCGAAAATTATACAAGTTGTGATGGCTCCAGTTTCTTTACCAACGACACAAAAGGTCTGCGTCTCTTTCTTCTCTGTCTACTACAACTTCATGTGGATGCTCTAAGTCTCACTTCATGCCATATAGAATTCAAATGCCTTTAGCTAACATCGGAATATGAACAGAATGTTTATTTACACCAGACCTTCCCGCCATATAATCCACATGCATCCGTCACGTTTTCATGTGGAAGAATCCTCAAATGACCGATGCGTAGCCTGTGAAATTTTTTAGGCAGCTGTATCAGATCATGCATCGTCTGCTACCTCTATTTCAGCTCATCATGATTGTACTGGGTATCTATGTCCATGTCCATCACATTTTGTTTAAATTGTGCTTCTTACTTGCATACTTCATTTGCGGACACTACAGTCCGCACATTATGTACATAATGGCAGTAGCAAAAACTCCTTTCTGCTTTGGTTTCCTGGTTAGATGAATACCCCTTCTATAAGCTCCGGCAGGCCTCAATGTCGGGGTAGCTTTTCTCTAGAGCATATCTAAGGAGTGACTTATCGAGTGAACTCCGGGTAGGCAAGATACATAACATCCTCAGGGGGGGCGGGGAGCTCATGTTTCAGTATGCTCCTGTCTTCGTCAGTTTCCTGGCTGGTGTCTTTTTTTTGGCTCCAAATTGACCTGCGTTCCAACATAGGCGAGGTCCCCGGTAGATTTAGAGCCATTTTCTCGCAGAGGGAGGCCAGAAACTGGTTCACTGGCCTCCCTCAGCGGTTATTGCCTGGCCTGGCACTCAGGCACATAGTGATGATCTATGGTTTACAAAGCGATCGACTTCGTGGCAGCCAAAGTAGGCTGATTGTCGCTATCAGGGTACTCAGATTGGACAGTAGAACACTCACTATAAATCTTAAAGCAAGTTAGACCGGACGGTAAAAAATCTATCCACCTCTTACGGTATGTACTTTCACTGAATAAAGCTGATTTTGTGTTCTTTTACAAATATCTATCGGACGAACCAAATGAGTCTGATTGATTTGGTGAATATATCTGTAAATATATGCTTCAAACCCGGGGCTTTATACAGATGAAGATCAAAGTTAAAGATCTCTTCTTTGGTGTAGGTTTCTAATTGGGTTAAAGTGATTCGAAAATTTTATGTTCAGCTTTGAGTTATGAACCCCTGGCAGGCAGGAAGGCACCTTGGATGGTGCCCGGAGGTTCTCTGTCATCAGGGTGATTGTCAATAGAAGCTAGGCTACGTGTCTATATACGTCCAACAAGGCTCGATTACAATTAACCAGCCATTTTAGGTACGGTTAGAACTTGCTCAGACGGAAGGCTCTGCCGGTGGATACGAGGTCCCCACCACTTAGAGGTTTATTGCACTTCAACCAGACGGGACAATCTATTCCAGAAAGCTTGGTCCCTATAATAGGAATAAAAATATTGTTGCTCCCCTCTCAATCTGGATTCAGGATTCCGTTCAGGAATCTAAGAACGTGATATTTGAGGACACACCAAACTTTTGACACAGATTAAGGTCACTTGGAGGGTCAAGTAGTCCGAATGGCAGACTTAACACCTGCATAGGGCAAGGCTCACTGGAGATCTCTTTCTCATTAAAATTGACCCGCCGCAACACGGAGCAGGGAACTCAAGCGGCATCGAATTGAGCTTGTTAACCATATTTAGTAAGCCGTGTCAGGTAATGTTTATCGATGGGTGACGATTGACACCAGAGTAACTAAATATCAAATTTCATCTCGTTGGTTTACATCGTCATGGACCGCGTTTTCTTAGACGAGGAGGACAGGTGGAGAATTACAAATCGAATTTCGGAAGATCGGATGACTTTTAAGTGTGTCCGTTGTCGTGGAGGAAGCTCTCAAGAAGACAAAGAGAGCAGTCCTAGTTGACAGATAGGGTAGTAAATCATTTACATTGATTGAGGTTCGTGCAAGTCTTCCTTCTCTCCCCAGTACAGTACTTACTGTTCGAGAATAGAAATACATAATAGTCTGGGGATCCGCGTAGGGGTACTTCGATACACCAACGATGACGATATCTAGGAGGTCAAAAGGAGGACAGCTGTAGAGTCTTTTCTCGTCATGGTCTCGGAACCTTCTCTTACTGCCTAGGTAGAAGGAAGGTAAGAAAGAGGAAATAACACTCTCTATGTTTGACAAGAGGAGAAGCAAACTCATGACACCTCATTGTTACCAAAGTGTGGTGTTCTCTGTACTCGTAAGATGCAGGAGACCCTGCTAGGGATGGGTTGAGCTAAGTCCAAGACAGAGAAGGCTACAAGATTCCTTTTCGGACCGGACCTTTGGGGAGAGGAGACCGTGTCCCTTGAACTCTTACTAGTGGACTCGGTGCATCAGCTACTAAAAGAAATTTTAGAGCGGGAATTAGACGAAGTACAAATCTGACCTCAATGTTTCCCAGACATTCCCAGAGCTCCACTCCCTTCCGAGTAAAATTTTCGGGTGTTATCTTGTCTTGGTACACGATTAAATTTCAAGTGCCGATGGCTATCAGAACCCTCCAGAGCAACAACAGAGGCATGGGTATGTACACTGCCATGGGGCACATTCTTTGGCATGGAGGACGAAATCATTGCTCATAGTCTGTTCTATGAAAGCAATTTTTGCATTATGAAAGTGACATCCCACCGCAACCTTGGTCAGTTAGTACAGCAAGTATTGTGTTGAGTATTCCTCAGACTACACTTCAAGACAGAAGCTGTTGTATTATAAAGTAATATAATTCTGGCGCTATCAAGGCTGATAATCAAATGAGATAGTTAAAGGCTACTTGGCTGGGAAACAATGGAAACCTTGCAGAAACGTCTTTGAAAGGGATATTCTCCTACTTGAAGGGAGGCCTTTTATTGTCATATAGTTGCTAATCTTCGAACACTGACTTCTATTTCCTTTTCTGTTGTTATCACCACCGCTTAGCCAGGCCGTGGGGTCTATAGTCTTCAGATTATGACCCGCAAATACCAATGATTACAGTCCTTTCCAATTAACATTTTATAAATCTTAAAAATGTTAATTGGAAGATTAAAGTTTTTAATGTTAATCTGCGACAGATGTAAAATTTATCAATTTTACATCTGTCGCTTCACTGATGAGTACTGCCCCATTAGTTATCAACAGCATGGATTCCATTACTTTCTGCTGGAGGAGACTGAATGACTGTTTTTCTGTTCAGGAGAAAGAGAAGATCATCTACGTGTATTTACATGAGAGTGAAAGTTTTGTCCTGTTGAATTTCAAAGGTGCAAACTATAACGCTGCGTTTGAAGGGCTGAATGCTGCAACGGAAAGAAATGACCGTTACGCGAAGCTTCTTGAGGTATACTTTGCAGATATTTAAGTAACTGGTTCCAAAAGGATGTATACGGAACGAAAAATACGACACATGACATGCGGATGATCTATCTCTTATAGAGCCAGCTAATGGACTATATCCGAAATAATTCTGATACATACTTGCTTTCCTTTGGCTTCCTCTCGTTTCTAAGTTTATTCTTGAGACGCCTGAGTCCGCCCAAAATAACACTTTCAATTCAATGCTTCAAATTTTGCAGCTCAAACAAGGAAGTGACAACTATTCCCACGCATACGCTCAAACTTTGGTGCGTCTTTTGAAAAAGAAAGAGGTTCAAGTGTGGGCACCTTCGATGCAGTCTGAGGCATGCCAGGTGAGTTTGAAGAGTTTTAGCTCATCAAGTCCATCTCTTCATTAAACTCTGTTCTGAGTGACTCACCTCCAGTAACTTGAGTGTATTTAGGGAAGAGTCAGTGTTTCAATACATCTGTACGTAATGTTTCAATGAATAAATTTGCAGATACTTGTAGAAGAATAACACATGAGCGACGGGCCTTGGTCTTGGTTTTTGTGTAAAATTGTTACGACCAGAGTTGGTATGTTAAAGACGAAACTTTGCTTGGTCGGTCGCGGCTGGTTTATCTCAGTGCAGGCTAATGCGTGGGATATACACGATACCATATCTGGTCAAAAACAGCAAGACTTGAGGGATCCATGGGCAATAGCACAGGCTAAAAAAGCTGCTGAGCTAGCAGCGGCAGATGCTGCACAAGTCCCAACCACCCTCCCTAAGCTATTTGGGTTGATGGAAGGACCGAATGCTCCGAATGCTCCAACTCCCATAGCCAGTCCTCAGGTAAGATATGGAAGAAAACTTTCCTTGTAAAGATAAAAAAGAATCATTACCTGGCAGGTCATCGGTGTTTCTAACTTACAAGTTGAATTCACGTATGGAAAGTGTTAGCATTGTTAAGGAAAACTAACTACAATTCTGGCATACCTTGATATCGGCTGCCATGGTGTACCCGGGTCTCTATGACTGAAGCTAAGGACAGACTTCAGAACTGAATCTTGATATTTCACAGAGAATCTGGGCACATAGAGCTTGCGGCATTTGCGAAAGAGCAATTATGCTCATTGCTTATTATCAGACTAATCGTTAAATTGATACACGTATATGAATCCAGAACCAGGTGATTAGAGGTCCACGTTCGTTTTCGTAAACGCAACAAGTTAGTCTGTTTGAATACAAGTAAACCATCATCATCAACAAACAGAGAATAAAGTCAAACACGTAGTAAAGCTATGTTGTCCTGTTCTTATTTCTGCATGTTACATGTACGAACCTTCTTATCTGGACTAGACATGCCTCAGCTAGTGGACCTAGCATTCAATACTTTGATAGTTTGCGTAGTTTTGGACTAAATTCAAACTAAATCACATTGTTATGGCATCAGTCAGAGTCTCCTCAGTAACTTAGAGCATTCAGACATACAAGAGATGAGAAGTCGTTGAAAAAAGGTGCCGTGGTTATAAGTTACATTAAAGTTACCTAGCGCTAGGATTGACAATAAACATACATCACTCATTGTTTGATGTGTCATGTAGTTACGAGTCGGCTCACGAAGTTCAGACACTTACTATATTTAGCCGTAAAGTTAGGGTTCCGGTCACGAGGGGTATACAGTCGGGGACGGCTCGAAGAACGTCAGTTCTTCGAGTCGAGCCTGGAAGCGTTGGGAGCGTAGAGTGACTTTCCCCTTTGCGTCGACCTGGATTCTCCGAGTGTGGAGTGGGTTGGGCTTGACTCATGTTTGTGACGGTGACGGTTTGTTGCCAGTAGGGTAATTGACCGACGGGAATTCCAGTGGGGAATCTCCCGTCTATTTCACTCGAAGAACTCTGTGAACACCGAGTCGTCGAGGAGTCACTGTAAGAGAGCTCGAAGAATCAAATCAATTTCTGATGTCGGAGCTTGCGCGGATGGTGTTAGTGACATCATTGTTACGAGCGGGGTTCGAGATTTTGTTCTTGGCATGGTAGTTTCTTTGGAGAAATCAAAGTGGGAGGATTGAGGTGTATCGCGTGGCAGTCAGCAGGGTCGAGGTCAAGATGATGTGTTGAAATCTCCGGTGTTCGAATGTGATTACAAGTGAGCGAAGAGAAGATTTGAGGGGCACTCGGCTAGTGACCGGTAGATGGCTACGGGCTCGAGGTTACTGTTTTTTTGGGCCATCAAAAGTGAGAAACAGGATTCGCGTTCGCTGTTGCTGCTGCTCGTTCGGAGCTTCCCACTCTGCGCAATTTGTTTCGCCGCAGTTGTTGCCATTTCTGTCGATCTGAATTGTTCGATTCACAATATCGAAGCTACAGGTCTGCCAATTTGGTTCCATCTTGTATGTCAGCGTGGTTTGGATCGAATCTGCGCCTGAATCAGTGCTGGTTTGGGAGAAAACCCTAATAGAGTAGCCTCCCAGATTCAATAGCAAGTCACTGGAGTGCCGTAGTGGTCCAGGTAGTCGTCGTTGAATTGACCTCATCATCCGGCTTTCTAGAGCCAAGTGCACAATCATTGCTTGAGGAGAACAGAGGCGGTCAAACGCTCGAAGTTTGTGGTGCACTGGCCGGAATTTACACTTTAGGGCCGCCTAAGGCACTGGGTTGTTGGTCGAACTTGATGTCAACAGAACGTAAGACGGTTTGACTTGACCTCCGGCTCGAGAGATTCAAGTTTTCGGGAAAGCTCGAGGGATTGAGCATTGAATTGCTGCCGTTTCGTGAGCTTTGGTACGTCCTCTCATATGAATCCGCAAGTGAGTGTCGGGGTTCTGGTGCAGTGAAGTGTTGACGCGTGAAGGGAAAATGCCGCTTGGAGGAAAGGCAGACGACAGTGATATACAAGAAATCCAGACAGTGGAGGTCGTCAGCACCGAGGAACGTGATCAGGAGCAGGAAGTGACGGTGCAGCCTCAAGTAGAAGAGAATCCGGTAAACACTGTTGTGGTAGAAGAAAAAGATTCCGGGTTAGATTGGGACGAGGCACTAGCCGTAGAGAAACTTCTAGAGGAATCCGGCCTAGAGTACAGGGTATGTGAGGATGAGTTACTAGACCTTCCGCAGGATATTGCCGACCATTTGAGAGATGTTCAGTATGTTCAAGACTGTCTTTCAGAAGAAATTCTTGTACTAGAGAAATTTCTTGATAGTCTCCCAAAGGATTGATAGCCAATACTTGTAGCGTTAAGCAGTAGGTACTGAAGGGATCGGGAGTTTGCACCCGGTCTCACTACCTGTAAACGTGATGTTTTGAAAGCATTGTAAATATATATATGACGTAGTCAATATATTGAGCTTTCAGTGTGTACTGTGTTTGTTGAGGGGCAGTGTGACCCCTGTGTGAAGGAGAAAAAAAAAAGAAAAAAAAAAAAGAAAAAAAAAAAGAAGAAAAAGTTTTCAAACAATTTTTGTTTGCAAGTTGGTGGAAGAGGGCATCATAGGCGCCGGAGGTCCAAGTAGATGGAGGGCAATGGCGATCGAATCGGGATCGTGAAGCGATGCGATGTCCCGTGTGTGTTGTCTTGTTTTGTGCTGTGTTTCCTTTAGACTGGAGAGTCGTTGCTAGCTGGTTGCTTGTGTTTGGAGCCTCTCCAGTCTTGCTTCCTGGTGCGCGCCCGTGTAGGGGTGACGTTGATTTCCGGAGTAGTTTTACTCCTGTGTGCTGGCGATAGGGGGCTGGACTTGATCACTGGCCGGTCTATCTATGTTTCTCTCACGGTGAGACTGGAGTGATGACCAGTAGACCGTGAGAGTCTTCTTGCTGTGATGACAGGTTAGGTTGCCCATACCCCTTAGCTAGTAGGGCTAGAGTAACTCAGTGCGGCACGACGTCAGGGGCGGATTGGGTTATTGGGTGGAGATCTGGCAGTGGTGCCAGTTGAGGTCTCGTCATCACGGAGCAGTCTAGTGGTCCTGTTGAGGACCGCGGTGGATTTACGCGGAGCGGGTTGAGGTATCGGCTACCTTCACCTATTTTGCCAGTTGTTGCGGAGCACGACCAGAGTGTTGCAGACACAGAGTCTTTGGTGGTGATATCGTCTAGTGTCCCCACCCCATTGATTTGGGACATGGACGGGATGTACGGGGCCGCGAAGGGCCCTCGACGTTACTCTGGTGCAGTGGGCACCATCGAGCTTGATGATTTTATTCAGGAGTTCGACACGTGGTGTGATATGCAGTTTCTGCGTAACCCCACGTTGTTTACACCCTTCTTTGCATGGAAGGGATTATTCCAGCATTTGGAGGGGCCTCCCATGGACGATTATCATGAGTTTGGGAGAGAGTATGCTGTAGAGATTGATGCATGGAGACGGCATTGGTCTCCAAACTACTCATCCATTACCCAGGGTGGTGTGGGTACCAGTGGAGCTGCGAGTATCGGCATCAGTGGAGGTGCGAGTAGTAGCATCAGCGAGGGTACCAGTGCAGCAGTTGGCGCAACTGGTACTAGTACCAGCAGCGGTACTGTTAGCATTGCCGGTGGCAGCACGAGGGGAGATGCTGGTGGCGTACCTTCGTTTAGCCCCATTCCTGAGTTCTTCCAGAGATTGAGGAAGAATTATCAAGGGGTGAAAACGGAGAAGTTGAGGAGCCTCCAGGAGTTTGAGCGGAAGACTGGTGAGAGTCTTCGTGAGGCATACACTCGTATGCGACGGCTCATCTCAGTTACTCACGGTGTGACTGAGGCACAGGCTGTCCAGTACTGGTATCGGATCCTTGACAGAGAGTTGCGGAGGAGAGTGCGTGATGCTACTCTCATGAGCGACTCATCACCCACATTAGCCCATGTGTTTGCTCTTTCTGAGAAGATTGAGCTTAACATGGTGGAGGAGAGGGTGGTGACGTCTACATTTGCGAGGGACACGATCACTACCTCGCGTATCCCACATAGCACAGCACAGTCTCGCTCCTTAAGTGGGAGTCGTGGAGGTCATACACGACATCCTTCAGGTCACAGAGAGCCTAGTGCGCGGCCACCACTGCCTTCATTTTCGGGTCAGCCACAGGGACCGTCATGTTGGACATGCGGAGGTAGCCATATGAGGAAGGATTGTCCCCAGGAGCGAGAGGGACAAACTCCACAGGCTAGGCCACAGCCGGCACGGGTGACCTGTGATCATTGTCATCGACCGGGTCACCCTCGAGAGCGTTGCTTTGACCTTCATCCTGAGTTGAGATCTGGAGGTAGAGGTCGTGGAGGTGATGCTCCGCGAGGCCGAGGTGGCAGAGGTGGTAGAGGTGGTAGAGGTACCGGGGCCATTGAGCGTACCGCAGCGAGTGCTACTTCTGCCACAGAGAGCGCTATGGCTGCTCGGATTGAGCAGTTGGAGCAGAGGCTTGCTGCTATGGCCGGTCTGGGGGCGAGCACTTCCACATCTTACGAGGGAGAGGATTTCTCCTATTTGGCCAGTGCAGCACAGGTTGAGGCATCAGTTGCAGTGACCAGAGGTGGTGCTCGCACTTCAGAGCCACGTGGTGCGACTGTGGAGTTGGACCCTCAGAGGGGTGAGGGTGGACGTCAGTCTAGACTTCCCCAGTCCTTTTTGTTGTCAGAGGTGGGTAGCAGTTCATCTATGAAACCTGCACCGCCTACTGACACTAGAGTGAGAACTGAGGTTCTTACATCATCTGTTGTGGGCGCAGACGTGCCATCTAGTGCAGTGATGCGGATGGCCACTTCAGTCTTGCGATCTCCATTGTTCTCAGCCACGGAGTTGATAGACTCTGGTATTGATTTGGCTCGAGTATTTCGGGTAGCAGCCACGTCGTGTGAGCGTGGGAGAGTCGCTGCTACTAGTG